CTTGTGGGCCCCCCGTGCTACAGACTACCACCTCAGACTACAACAACTTTCATTTCAAACAACTTTGTAACTTTTGTCACTAGACTGTGTCATTAGTCTGCACCACGTCTTCAAAAAAGCAGCAAGTTACACAGAATGTGAACTTTGCCAGAAATGCAAAAATAAAGTTCAGTCTTAGTCTTATAAAAAAAAGAAATCCAGAAACTCATGAACAGAGATGAAAAAATATATAATTTAGTGAGAGTTTAATACTTGTCACTCGTAGTGGCTGCACTGAGCCTGTGGTTGCAGGCTTGATACCGCCATTGTCAAGTCATGTTCAGTGTTTAACCTAGATCTATACTTTGTTTTCAGTGAGGCTCACTCCATCTCACAGAGGTATGACGTGCCAAATGGAAGCAGAATGCCCACAGCTTTCTGTCCATGAGTGGATGCTTCCTCTCCACACCAGCCAGATTCACTCAGTGCTTGAGCTGCACCCTCAGCCTGACTGTGGAGGCAGAGGTGATCTGGATGAGCTGGTCTTCTTCAGCAGAAGTAAAATCAGCAGGTGCAGATGCATTAAATGGATCTCTAACCCAGACATACTGAGTAGGGGTGGGTTTCGATGATAGATTTTCTGAGTAAAATCAATTTTAGTTTGAATAACGCGATATCGTTCATTAAATCCTGAGTCAATTTTTTAAATATAAATGTATTTTGCCAGAAACGCCAGAATCTCAGGTTAGAGCTTTAATTTTTTTGCTGTTGACGGCATCCTCCAATTTTCTTTGAAAGAAGTCAAGTGTCTTATAGATGTCATTGGGGTGTAATGTCTCTGAGTGTCTTCTTAATTTGTTGGGCATCATACTGTCAACTGCCAGAGTTCTCAAACATAAAATACACACCGGTCTCTTTTCATCTCCTATCACATTCACCGTGAAACCAAGAGCAAGATACGCTTCATCGTATTTCCTTTTTGGCTTACTATCAGCATTTGCCTCGTTTGTCTCAGATGCAACGCATGTTTCTCGTCAGATATCTCTCCATTTTAACGACCATCCAAACCTGTGGCTGCAGCGGATGCGCATATTATTATCGCAACTGCGGTGAATTTCTTTGTTCCACCGTGAAAGTGATTCCGATGCCCTTTTTGACCTTACGGGTCAGAGCCATTTCAGTTGTAGGTGTTATTATTGCAGGAAAGGAAATCTGTATCAGCTGGGTGGCAGATGACTGATAGAGATTTCATCCTATTATTCATAAAAGCCAAAATCTTCTAACTGGTTACAAAAAAAAAGAAAAAAAAAGAAAAGATTGTCCCTTAGGTCAAATCTGTTTCACCTCTCACTAAAGTGTGAATGCTAACATTGGATCACTCTTACAACAGAAGGTGATCTCAGTTCCTTCAACAGTATTTCAACAGCATGACTTCAACATCATTTTGAAGGAGGCTGGAGACAATAAGCTGAATGGACCGTGCCCAACACCTCCATTGCTGAGGCTGTTGCAAGGCACTGTGGTTGTAAGATGGTACCTGACATGGCGATAATCCATGCACTGGATGGTGGACACCAGAGGTGAAGGGTTCCCTATCAGGAATCTCATACCCAGACTCTGCTTCCTCTACAGAAGATGTCATTGGGATTAAGGAGGTCCTGGACTTTTTCCTTCCAGTTAATTTTCTTTCCAAGCTCCTTAGATTAGTCATGGCAAAATGAAGCTTTCTGAATCACTGAAGCTCGTCTTGAAAAAGGGTTTGTTACTCGAAGCTTTTCAACACAGTCCTCTCTGGTGGCATCTGGTGGCCAAAAGTATGAAGAGCAGCTTGAATCTACAAGTTGAACTGCTTCATTATGGTTGCCCACTGTACAGAGCTGAGTTGACAGCTTCTGTTTAGCATCATGTGACTGTGGCGTGGGTGTGGTCTCTGGCCGGCTGCAGAGGAGGGGTGACGCAGTGAGCTCCTGGGGTGGCGCAGGGGCGAGGTGAACAGGTGTGCTGGGAAGTGAAGGTGATTGTCACCTATATGTTCGCAGTGACAGTCGGAGGCAGAAGAGTGGACGTGACAGCAGAGAGCGGGAGTGACTGTGTCCCAGTGAACCTGAAACCACAGTATTAATAAAGGTATTGCTGTCCCCACACCCGTGTCCTGTGGATGCTTTACAGGACAAACGTTACAGTGGCAAAACAGTGATATCGAAATCTATCACTTCTAGGCTTGAACATAAAAGCCTTGCTTCATCTGGTGTGGTGTGGATGATGTAGATGTAGAGGCCAGTAGTGTATGAAGCAGAAAACAGTGACTCCCCGTATCACTGCGTGTATCGCTTTAAGAAAAACCATGAGACTGGTGCAGCTGCTGTGTCATACTGCAGTGAGGCGCCAAATTGTATAGGAATTGTGTAGAAAGCACAACTAAGATGATAGGCGACAGCCTTTAGTGCTGTTTGAGTGTTTACTTTTTAGCTTGTTGTGAAAGAACTCCAAAGCAACCACTAATGCCATCACCAAAGTCCAGCAATATCTCTCAGAGAGCAACATATGCAGAACACAGGATCCCCTGGAATACTGGGAGTATCAGAAACATTTACCTGTACTTCTACAAATTTGCTTTAAATTTTGATGTTACTAAAACCTCTCATTCTGTAGAAAAATTTGTAAACCGTGCCTTCTGCCCTCAGATACAAATACACAAACACTCCCACTGTCACAAGCACTTCTATTTCCTAAACAAAACCTTGGCTTTTATTTCCTGTGTTCCCACTTATACTTGCTTACAAAAAAGATCAGTAAATTTAGCATTTGACAGACTATTAGTCAATCAGATGTAGTTCTCATCTAATTAATGGGAATATATACACTTCTCTTTCATTCAGTTTGCACTCCATCATCTGCTGGTATGTAAAGACCATTCATCACTCATTTAGTCCAGATGTTGTAGTTCAGTCTCTGTCTAAGCTTTATCCAGGTTGCCTGCAATGAATATTTAATCCAGCAGATGGTGCTATTGAACACACCTACACTCTTTCAGAATCAGAATAGTTGTTATTGTAGCAATGAAACACTGAACAAAACTCAGGTGCAATTCTCAGCACAACAGAAGCATAGTATTGACTGAGGAATAAAAGCGGTTCTGAAACATCTGCTTGAAGGTAGACATTCAAACTGTACATGATCAGGGTGAGGTGGGTCTTCAAGGACTTTATTAATTGAAACAACGGGAGCTGTGCAGCTTTTTGAGGGAACCCTCAGAAAGTAGTCTCTTTTGGGCCTTCTTCACTAGCCAAGCAGTATGCATTTCCCAGATCAGGTCCTCCCTGATGTTAACTCCCAAAAAGCAGAAGTCTGAGAGCCTCTCAACAGAAAACCGCTTGATAGTCAATGCCAGGATATAATTGATTTCTTCCTGAAATCAATGATCATTTCTACTTTTCTCATATTCTTATTTGTCTTGTGTACAAAAGGTTAAAATGCTGCTGGCCCTCAGTGCTACCCCTTAGTTTCCCCATAAATAAGGTATAAATTTAAAAATGGAAGGTGGCTTCCTTCTTCAGTTAGCACGTTCACAAAATGTTCAGAAAACTTGACCTCTGTCACTGAATTTGTAGTAGGAGCACCAACTGTGCCTCATTTTGGAGCTACTGTCTGCCCGGCAGGGTGATGATAAAACAGAAATCAAACTTCTCTATAATCTATGACCACCGTTCCAAAAAACACACTGACACTTACAACAACTCAACTTTATTGTTATATACTGCTAAAGGAATGCAGGACAGATTTCGCAATATATATTTT